CTTCTGAATTCCACATTTCAACACCCAGCATGGTGCTGGACACCAAAATGATGCTGCTGTGCCTTTTCATCACCCTTATGCAGCTCAAGATGTGCTTTTAGAGCACCAGGTTTTTTCCAGTTAAAATGTGAGATGGAGTTTCCCARAGTGTGCTACTGTCATCCTACGGATGGGTAAGCATCAGGATGGAGAAATAAAGCARCTTCTTGCAGCCAGTATGCATTGAAGCTGGAATAGACTAATGTAAAATCCCAGAGGACTCAGTCATCACTCCTCTGCTCTCATCTCTGACCACAATCTCTCTGTATAAACAAAGGCTCTGGCCACTGCAGGGTTTTCTGGCCTGCTSTAAAATGTTTTGCCACCCCTCTCAYAGGAATTGCTGATGCTTAAAAAAGAGGCAGCCTTTTCTCACAGTGCCWGTGTCTCTGTCAAGSAGTCTAGATGCCAAGAAAGCACAGGGAGATGCAGACAGGAAGACCTGTCAACCTGATCAATTAAAATCATAGTTGTGATCTGGATTAATRAGCACATTATTATTGTTCCAGGTAAATATTAGTACAGATTGCAGATAAAGTCCATTCTGGGAGAACTGAATGGTGCGGGTCAAACTCAGACTTTTCCTGAATTTTGACTTTTTAGCAACAACAAAAAACAGATTTCAGGACACAAGGAGGCTTTGACTTGGCTGTTCTTCGGCATCGTGAGAGAGAACCAGAAAGACATATAGTCATTGCTTCTCATCACCTGAAGGGAATTAATGAATCAGCATGCCTGTAAGAGTCTCCTGATGACAAAAATACCCTAAACAAGAGCTGGGTTTCTGTGACAGGTCCTTCCAGAGCATTAGGATTTATTTATATGTGTTCAGATTGGTTTAGAGCCTTTCAAAATGTTGATACACTCAGTCCTGTACATGCTAACCAACACATCAGCTACAGCCTTCAAGTGAAGAGGAATTAATATTCATTCACTCCTTTGGACCCCCAAAGTCACACTCAGGGTGWGCTTCCTAAGGTAGCTCACCCTTGCACACAGCATTCCCCATGGAATTATGGTGTAACACGCACAGCATAGGGCTGGAAAGCAGGGCCACTTCTGTTCTTTAATACCTTTTCTTTATATTTTCGTGATACTGTTTAACTAAAACCAACTACATACAGTATTTGGAGCACTGTCACATGTACCTAGGAGATAATGTCAATGGAATTGCGTGTTGTCACAGGATAACAGCCTCCYGCTGTTGCTGAAATGCCAAATTGAAGCTGAGGCATTTATGGAAAATAAACGTCAAGTCAAAGCCAAGATGTTTATTTTAAAAACAAGAGACGTGGATCTTGTGGCAATGTTCCATCATGTCTCTATTTCTCTAATAACAAATGTCCAGTGTGAATAGAGCCAAGTGGTGATTTCTTCCTGGGTCACACAGAGAGGGTGAAGCCTGACCGCTTCACATGAGGACTTGCAGAGCTGTTTCTCATCTGCTTTCCTGCAGGTTTTAGTCAACTGTCCAGGTAGTAAACACAAAATGGTTTATCAGATGTATGCTAAGTTTGCAAAGAGATTTAAGAAGACAGCAGAAAGAAAAATGGACAGCAAATGCATATTTAATTTGCTTTTATGTAGTCCTTTTTTCTCCAGAGAAGGAATGACAACATGAGGCTCACCAAAATCAATGGAAGGCTTTCCGGGCACTTCAGTGGGCTTTGACTAATGCCTTAAGAGAACAAACAGCTCATGTTTTTAAAGTGCATTATGTTAATAATGGTGGTCCCTGAATTTGATTCATGAARGTATGACTGGGCCAAGACTGGACAAGGAAAACAAAATCCTTCTGGGTCACAAAGGGCATCACAAGGCACAGAGAGCTCAGAGCAGCCCTGGGGATTCAGGGATGGCCTCCAGCAGTGAGAACTGAAAACAGCAAATCCACTGCCCTAGATGAAGGAAGGGCTTAGTTCTGGTGTCCAGCACCATTCCCAGTCTCCTGCCCCACTGCTGGTGCTGCTGACATTCCCCAGGGCAGCGCTGTGCTGGTAGGAACAGAACCCATTCAACAGGATCTTCAGCTTGGAATCTGTTTGGCATGGAGGGAGAGGCACAAAGACAAGCTGGAAGCTGTGCAAGGCATCTCAAAGGACTGGGTTTAAAAATACACCCACAGAGCCCACTTCAGTTCCTGAAATGCTGAGGTTTCACAGCTCGTGCCAACGGGGTTCCTCAAATGCAATACATTTTGATTCTCATCGGATCTACCTGTTATCCTCTGTCCAATACAAGAATGATCTTTCCCAGTAACTATTGAGAGTCTGGGCTTTCTTTTGCTTTTCGGTTTTTTTGGTTTTTTTTTTAAGACTTCTAGAGGAAAAAATAAATTAGTTGCTCATTAAAAACTGTGATCTAGAGAGCAAGTAGAAACAAACAATTACAGTGCTGTAAGCTCTTCTCTTGACCTAATATTGCATCCTTAAATAAAAGAAAAATAAATTTCCAGGAAACCCTAAAATCCCCTTTGAATTTTTGAAAGTGAAAAAAAAAAAAAAAAAAAAAAAAAAAAAACCAAAGGAAATTTTGAGCTAATGGAGATTTGCAAAAGGTAACACTCTAAAAGGGGTTAAGCCTACAATGAATATTTGGCTGCTTTGCTCTGTGAGGGCCAGAGGGATGTTCTGTACAGAATTCGTAAACTTGCTTATTTTTTTTTCCTTTGGAGATGCATTGTTTCCCAAAGACATTCTGGCTCCAGCTCTGATCTGACATTCCAGATTGACGCGTGTGGAACCAACAAAGACATGGAGAAACAACACACAATTTTGTGTCTTCTGCTTTATTGCATCCTTGCTAATAATTTCCTTTACTCCTCCAACCTTTAAGCTTATCTTCTCTTATGGTGGAAAGAGACCTGCTGGAGATCTGATAGGACAGCTTGATAGGGAAAGAGCTGGCATTTTATTAGTTTAAGGTATTTATTTACTGTATAAAGATATTACAGCAATAATGTGTCTGGACAGATGACAGATGGATGGTGCTCCAGAAATAGCATATTAAACAGCTGCAGGGTATCCCCAACACTGCTTCAGTGTCATCTAGGGAAAAATATTTAAGATTTTATCAGAAWTTTTTCTGGCTGATTTAGTGCTAAAATGGACTGTGCACATTCACAAAATTCATCCAAGCATCYCAGCTGTGAAGGCTTTGGTGCAATGATGCACCATGGGGCTTRTATTTACTTTAAGTGTTCCAGCTAAATGTAGAAAAGAAAAAAAAATTGTCCCTATCCCACAGCTCCACTAACCTGGTTTCAGATTTTTTTTTTTTTTTTAGATCAAGATTAATGATACCAGACCTGGGCAAATAGTCCTAGACACAATCCTTCTGCTTTTCATTTGGCATAAGGTMTCCCTGTTTTCTTGAAGATGTCACGCCTCCTTCCCTTCGCATTAAAGAGGGTCATGCTTTGGTCCAACAGATGATGAGTAGCAAAGCAAAGTCCATGGGAACATGAGGGAATGCTTTGCCAAGCAGCAGGTCCATACTGGTGTGTGGCCTTTAGTCAGGGTTAAATAAACAGTGCGTAAATAAATAAATAATTTTTTCCCAGGTTGTGACCTTGTAAATCAAGCCTAAGCCTAGAAGGGAGTTTTATGGGCCAGCTGGAACAGTGGAGAAGTCTTAGTATAATAAATATATAGGGGGAAGAAAATAACTTTGCCTTCCAGCTGGTCCCAGAGTGCTGTGGGGAACGTTTGGTGCTGCTGTAAAGACATACYGATGATTTAAAAGGCAAGAGAGAGGGGACATTGCTCTTATTTACTCAGTGGTTGTTCCACATCATTTTAAGAAGTTCAAAACAGGAGCAAAATGCAGTAAAATACAGTCTTAAAGCTTCAGAGMAGAATAGAGGGCCAAGCAGGTAAAGGGAAATCTAACCAAACTAGTTCCTAGCAGCAGATGGGACCTGGGCAGGGATTTGCTCTGTCTGTTATCTGGGCATYGCAGCCTCCTGATGGTACTAACAGCACTAATACTTAGAGCAGTCCCTAGATTTAGTGGGTTTGACCAGACCGTACAAAAGTTACTGCCTGTATTTTCAAAAGTCCAGAGAGACCTGTTCACCACAGCAGAGAAATGACAGAAAAGGGAGCTGGGGCTCCCACCTCTCAACCCTGCAGTGGCTTGGTCTGGCAGGCTGGAGGGSGTGAGGAAAAGAGGATTCGCAATGGGGAGATGCAGGGAATAAGCCACAGCCACAGTCGCTGCACGGAGCTGGCAGCATCATCCCTTAAAGCAGGTTTTACATGGGAGCTCTGCGGCTGCCCGGGCTGGGAGAGGAGGCACCGGCCACAGGGGGCTTGCGAGAGCGGGACTTGTCCCTAATGGGAGGGCATGTCAACTATTTGCCCGTAGGGAATGATGCTGACGGCGCTGGCATTTTGCTTTTTCCAAAGGTAAAGAGAGGGAACTTCTGTTCCAGAAACCGGTAGGAAACCACCCTGCCCATATCCCCTGCCTGCCCCCGTACGGCAGCATGGATGTCCCGGGGAAGGGGGGTCTGTGCCCGGCAGCCTCGGGGCAGGCAGAACGTAGCCAGAGCAAAGACGGGGTCCGGGGGAAAACTGGGGTGAGTATCGGCAGAGACACGGGAGGGATGGGGCAGAGATAGGGGCAGAGATACGGCCGGGACACGGGCAGAGACACGGCAGGGATAGGGCAGGGATAGGGGCAGATACACGGCAGGGATACGGGCAGTGATAGGGACAGAGATACGGGAGGGATACCGCCGGTGCGCTGGAGGGGTGGGGCGCTTCACCCACGCCCCTCGTTGCCGATTGGCGTCGGGCGGTGCCGGGGCTGTCCCGGGGCGGTCCCGGGGCGGTCCCGGGGCGGTGTCGGGGAGGCACCGGGGCGGTTTCGGGGCGGGTCCGTCCGGCGGCGCGGCGCGGGGCCATGCGGCAGCCCCGGGGCGGCGGCAGCGGCGGCGGCGCCGCCTTCCTGCCCGCGGCGCGGTGCGGAGCGGCGGCCGGAGCGCCCCGCACAGCCATGGGCGATGGGTGGCTGCCTCCGGACTGCGGCCCCCAGAACCGCTCCGTGGCCGGGGTGACCGCCGTGCCGCCCGGGAGCAGACAGCTGCCCGCCGCCGAGCTGCTGTCGCAGCAGTGGGCTGTRGGCATGAGCCTGCTGATGGCCCTGGTGGTGCTGCTCATCGTGGCCGGGAACGTGCTGGTGATCGCGGCCATCGGGAGGACGCAGCGGCTTCAGACCCTCACCAACCTGTTTATCACCTCGCTGGCCTGCGCCGACCTGGTAATGGGGCTGCTGGTGGTGCCCTTCGGGGCCACGCTGGTGGTGCGGGGCACCTGGCTCTGGGGATCCTTCCTGTGCGAGTGCTGGACCTCCCTGGACGTGCTCTGCGTGACCGCCAGCATCGAGACCTTGTGCGTCATCGCCATCGACCGCTACCTGGCCATCACCTCGCCTTTCCGCTACCAGAGCCTCATGACCAAGGCTCGGGCCAAGGGCATCATCTGCACCGTCTGGGCCATCTCTGCCCTGGTCTCCTTCTTGCCCATCATGATGCACTGGTGGCGGGATGACCACCCCCAGGCGCTGGAGTGCTACCAGGATCCGGGCTGCTGCGACTTCGTCACCAACAGGGCTTACGCCATCGCCTCGTCCATCATTTCTTTCTAYATCCCCCTACTCATCATGATCTTTGTGTACCTCCGGGTGTACAGAGAGGCCAAGGAGCAGATGAGGAAGATMGATAGGTGCGAGGGCCGGTTCTACGGCAGCCAGGAGCAGCCGCAGACGCCCCTGCCCGCTCACCCTCACCACCAGCCCATCCTCGGCAACGGCCGAGCCAGCAAGCGAAAGACCTCCCGCATCATGGCCATGAAGGAGCAGAAAGCCCTCAAGACTTTGGGCATCATCATGGGGGTGTTCACCCTCTGCTGGCTCCCCTTCTTCCTGGTGAACATCGTCAACGTCTTCAACAGGGACCTGGTGCCGGACTGGCTCTTCGTTTTCTTCAACTGGCTGGGCTACGCCAACTCCGCGTTCAACCCCATCATCTACTGCCGCAGCCCCGACTTTCGCAAGGCCTTCAAGAGGCTGCTGTGCTGCCGCCGGAAAGCCGACCGGTGGCTGCACGGCGGCGGCGGGGAGCTGGCCCGGCTGCCCGGGGGCTTCATCAGCACCGTGGGCTCCCCCGAGCGCAGCYTGGCCGGGACCTGGTCCGACTGCAACGGGGGAACGCGGGGCGGCAGCGAGTCCAGCCTGGACGAGAGACATAGCAAAGCCTCCGACTTGGAGTCCAAGGTATAGGGGGGKCGTGGGGGCCGCGTCGGAGCCGGGACAGCGGGGAGAGGCAGGCAGGGAGACACGCAGGAGCGCAGAAATCSCCGGCAGATGCCCGATGGTAATGCTATTGCCGAGCAAAACGATCCCTGCCCTGGCTGGGGGAGTGCGGGTGTTTACTTAGGAATAAAAGCAGGTGAAGTGGTGTACGACATACCTCATCCGAAACTACAGAAAACAGGAAACCCACTGACCGGAGAACAAAGGAAATAAACAGCCCATCCCAGAGACAGCCACCTTGTCTTTGGGAGACGCGCTGGCGGCGGGGACTGTGGCGGCAGCGCCTGCGCTCGGGTGGCTGTCCCAGGACCGTGCTGCTGGCCGAAGCCGCGGGTGATGCTGGCTGCCGGMGGCCGAGTTCGGCTGCAGGGGGGTCCGGCCATCCCCCCGGCCCCGGGGCTCATCCCCTTTCCCAGGGCACCGGGATTTTGGGAATCGCGGGSTCGGTGCTGCAGGTGCTCCGGGCAGAGAGCGCTGCCGGCAATACGGAGACCTGCCGGTAAAGATGAGTTTTAAGCTCGGAGTGGCCGTGCTCCCCTCGTCCACAACGTAGCGRGAGAGCAAATAACAAATAGTGAGGAGCACTGGTATATTTTAAAAGGGGGTAAAACAACCCAACAACYCAACCCACACTCTTGTGCTTTTTCCCTCTGCATCAGCAAGCAGTGAGTTACTGTGCTTATCTCCTTCAGCCAGACAATTGTCAGGCTGAGAAACTTCTACCTCAAACTGTGCATATTGTACAGGGGAATGAACGGACCATGTTTATATTAAACAGCATCTTTACATACCACTAATAGGGTTTTATGACAAGGGCCGGGCAGGGGGGAGTGAGGAACCTTCCGCGGCTTGTTCATTGTAATTACAGATGAACGGGGGGAGGGGGGAGAATCCTGGCAACAAAAATTTGCTGCACAATTTTTTTTTTTTTAATGGCGACAAAGTCTTTTTTGCACAGTGTTAAAGAGTTGTAAAGTTATTTGAAGATATTACTTGCACACACATACACACATGCAGATTGAAAAGGAAACGGAGGTTTGAKTAACACCGACCCTGAGCCTGATTTCTGGTTTGGTCTGATCTGTTATAGTTTTATTGAGAGAGTGACTTTTTTTAATATTATTTTTGAAGGTACTGTAAATATATCCATATTATAAATTAAAGTATCTTAAGAGACTTTATTATTTTTATTTTTATTTCCAAATGCCCACGTGAATCTGCTGTTATTTTAGCACTTGTGTGTCATTTCCATTTTCCTCTCTGTGTGTGTTTTATAACATATTTATACTTTGGTGCAATTTACTACTGTGTAAGTAATTGGTCTATGTGCAATAAATACCATTGCAGCATAAGCAAGTGTGTCTCTATAGGTTTTGATACAATACCTACCTATAATGGGAAGAACAGCATTTGTTTTTCTCCAAAGATGGCTCAGATTGCCAATACAACTTGATCTAATGGCTTTTCCTGACAGTGTTGTAAAAAACCTGTTTGAAACCCAGTATGGTTGTGTTCCTGTTGCACCGAGGTCCACTGACTTCCCTTATTAATGGGAAAAAATTAATGACTAAATTAATGGCTAAAGACAAGGTGTTTCCACTCTGATAATGAATACTCATTTTCTTGAACTATTCATTTCTGGAATATATTCTTTTATTTTTTTTTTTCTCTTTTTTGTGTCTTTTGTTGTTGTTGTTGTAGGAGTACATGGCTGGGAGTCAGCAGACCAAAATATTTAAGATTACAGAGGACATTTAATTTGAAAGCTTAAAATGGTCTYGAGTAGAAAGAAATCTCAGTAAGCATTACAGGCCACCCCACAAGTCCACCTCATGCTGACAGGGGGCCTGATCCTGCTCAAGCAGGTCATGATAACTGAATGTTACATTTTTTATTCACCCAAGTGAGGAATTACAGTGAACAGAAGTGCTGCAGCRTTGTGTCCCTGGTCCGAAAGATTGTCTTCCTTTATTGCTTCATGAAGGTGTGCTCTATCCTTGTGGTTTCATAAAGTTTTTCATTACTGAAATGAAGACATGGCAGATAGAGCAACAAAAAGACAGTGCAGAATTAAAGTGAAGTCATTTTTAGCTTTATTAAACTCAGGAGTATAKTTTAATTAAAAATCAGCTCCCAGGAAGAGCACTTCCCAAAGCRAGTTCTTCAGGGTGGTGGCTCACGGTTTGTTTTGGAAACCAGTTGTTCATTTTTCTTTGTTTTCAAAGTTAAGGAATTTGTCCTTTGCAATTTTTAATGTTGTATTTTCAGTGGGGGGAAAGAAGTTACTCTTTYTATGCAAAGACAAAATAAAGGGATTGGGGAAGTAAATAATACTTTTCCATTGACGTTACTGGAGTTTGATGTGAGCTGCCTTTGGTGTCTCCCTTGATAACAGTGGAATGGGCTCCTTAAAATTCTGGGGTGCCATGAGATCAGGAGCTAAGGGAAGTGGGCTCTGCCACCAAATGATTTTTTTTTTAAAAAAAACAATCTGGTTTTATCTGTGATTACAGCAAACTCAAAAGGACCAAAAGGGTGCATTGGATGGAGATGTCTGATGCCAGCAACTGCGGCGAGATGTCTGGGATGGGATGGGATGGGATGGGATGGGATGGGATGGGATGGGATGGGATGGGATGGGATGGGATGGGATGGGATGGGATGGGATGGGAATGGGATGGCGAGACAGTGCTGCCCTCTTTGTGTGTACTGGGGATCACAGAGCCAGGGCAGGGCCTGGCCCCCGTCTGCTGGGTAGAGCAGGACACAATCCCAGCACCTAGCTGGGAGCTGAAGTGGCTGTCAAGCCCTCATCCTCAGCAGGGTGCTGGATCCTGGGGAAGCACACTGCCCACTGCATGGACCAGGACAACCTAGTGACCTTGGCTCTTCAGCTCGTGAATCAGTTTACATACTCAATTTTAACTAACCAAACACTCCTGTCCTTAGACTTTAAAAAGTGGTGACAATTTTGCCTCAACAGGGTCCAACTAGAGTGCTAAATTTATGGCCACAACTTGCTCTGCTTGTCCTGCTGAAGAGCTGTGCTGGGTGAGGCGTCTCCTGGATAAGTTTAATGGCACTGAGGCAGGATGGGTTTAGCCCACTGGCCTCAGAAAGGCCAGCTGTGTCAGCAGAGCGGTCTGGATTCATCTGCTGTTGAATTTTTGCCAGCTGAGAACCTGCTGGAAGAGTCTGGAGGCTGGCACATTGAGTCTCTTCGTAGACAGCTGAAGTAATACCCCTGGCAGCCTGCACAGGGGATGCCAGTCCATCCTGCACGGCGTGGAAAAGGCGGTGGCACAGGAACAGCGAGGACAGAGCAGGACATATGGCACACACGTGTGCGAGGAAGGGGAGGCTGCTGGCGAGCAGTCTGCTGTGGATCACACTCAGAACAGGCTGTTCTCTGCAGAGGAGAAGGATACTCCGAGAAGTGTTGTGGGGCAGCTGAAATACTCCGGAGGCAATGAGTCAAACACTCGCGATGAATATTTCTTTCTGACGAAAACCAGACGTGGATTAGCAGTTGGAGCTGCAAGTCAGAAAGTATAGGTGGTGGGCATGAGGCTGCACACGTATGTGGGCAGGAAAGCAACAGCAGAGAGCCGCTCTTGAGGGAAGGGAGACACAGGTAAACCAGAAATCTGCTCAGAGAAATGTTCTGCAGCTGCCAGGACCAAAATTATTTGGCGAGGATGCCCGGAGACTTCCACATGGAAGACGCCTGATTCTCCAAGGCGCCGGCCGCACTCTGTGCAGTGTTTGCTCAGCACTTCTGGAAAGAAGGCTCCTTCTCTCCACATGTTTAAATGGGAATAGATCGGCCTGAAGGGCTGGAATCAGTTTTCTGTGTGATTAGGGAGGTTGAGGCTGTTTCAGACATGCAGAAGGCTCTGCAGAAGGACTTGCCACCAGTGASAGCTGCACAGAAGCCCTTCTGCAAATCCACTGCTCTCTGAAACTAGAGCCTTCAGCATCCATGGGCTGTAGCTCCAAACAGCGTGAAACTGTGCAAAAAAGGTGGTTATGATCTGAACTGTGCATTTGACAGCATCAGTTGGGAGTTTGAGTTGCAGCATGCACTGGTTCTTAGGCAAATACTGTTTTCCCTCTTGGATGTCCTCAGCTGTAAGGACAACTTCTTTATCAGCTTTTTTTTTTTTTTTTCTTTTTTTTTTTTCCAAACCCTATCCGAGATTGAGGTTTTATTAATAACTTTTAAGTGGGTATTTTGCAAACCTTCCTTGTGCTGCACACTTTCCTTATTTATTGTAATTTCCCGTCTGGTGGAGTGCAGTTACTTCCTTTATGTAATATATCAGCTTCAGGGCTGGAAATTGGGCAGCTGTGAATTGAAAAGAGCAGACTTTCGTGAGGCCAAATGCGGTCAGGCATCATTGCCACTGGGAGCAGAATTTGACCTGATAATCTAATCTCATACGAGAGACTATCTCCAGAAAAGTATTGTTACCAACAGCAAATGACCTCTGCTAATGAAGCTGGAGCAATTAGTCCTATTTAAAGCAGTCGAGAAAATGTTAACTGCTAAACAACAGTTAATGCTGGATAGGTCCAATAATGAGTGTTTTGTTTGCTGGTGTGTGTTAGGTGATGTGTTGGGAAATAATTATCCTTTGACTAGCAGCCAGCTTTGTGCTAATCAGAAAGGAGAAGTCATGTTCTGTTTGAAGGATTACACCTAAAAATAGTTCTGTTACTGCCACATCACTGAGCGAAATGAAGCAAATTCATGGCGATGTACACACCTTCCCAACGTTTCACTTTTCGTCCTAAAAACTCATTGTTCAGCTGGGACTTTCTGTTTGATTGTGTCAAAAAACACTAATGTGATCTCCTGCAGTAGCACTAAGCACACTCTCCCTGAGGAGCATTACCCCATGCACCACTGACTCGCTTTCAGACCCTGCCAAATTCCCAAACGCCCCAGGAGGAAGTAAGGATTCTTTCTCTTTATACAAACAATCACATGTAATGTAAGATCAACAATATTTTGTGAYGATCATGTCGCAGAAGAAACCGATCTGATTTTTCTTTGAGATGTTTGTGTGCCTGCCCATCCGCGAGGAGCAGCCGCCCATGGTAACAGCAGGTGATTTATCCCTGCAACTCAGTCACTTCAGCCTGCCAAACTCTGCTGGGAAAAGGGAACAAGATGGGAAAAGGATAAAAAAAGGTGATGCTGGTGAGCAAAAGCAGGATTGTCACTGTAGGTGTTGCCTTTTTACTGGTGAAGTGTAATTGGTTTGGATAAGAACACACCAGGGAGAGGCACTGTGGAAACACAGGCTAAGAAGTGTGAGAGTAAGACATTCCATAAAGGACCATGCCACCAGAGGACTGGCAGCTGAAACATGTCCATAACATTCCTAGAAGTTTTTCCTATTCTATTTGGATAACAGCAGCAGGCTAAAGCWCACCTGAGCAGCTTTCAGCTGCTGTAAAACCATGCAGCTCCCTGGCCACCTGCGGACACATGCGACCTCCTCAGCATCTCCCTCTCCCCTCCAAGTGGCTCCAGCTGAGTTTCCTTGGACCTGGAGCCATCCCCCAGCCTGGAGCCATCCTCCTCCCGTGTGGTGCCAAACAGAAGGTGCCCCATGGCCTCGGGGGGTGGCAGTGCTGTGAGGTGTGCTCACACCACCCCAGCCATGCTGGGCGTGCTGGCACAGGCTGCTGCTGTGCCCCTGTCCTGACTCATCCTCTGTCCTGCAAACCAGCACAGAATCGGGCCYGCCTCTCTGGAAATGGAAGAGACTTTGGGTTTGTTATGTAAACTGGCCATCAGCTTCCTGCTTCACCAAAACCAGCAGCTTGGTACATTTGCTTCACAAGCTCACTTTTTTTCTTGCCCCATTCAGCGTCCAGGCTCTTCACACCAATTTTTGCCTGCTTAGCCTTAG